GACCTGAGCCGAAGGCAGCGGCTTAACCCACTGAGCCACCCAGGCGCCCCAGTTAGAAAAATTTCATTTAAGATCTTAATATCTGTTATGGGCATCACTCATGATTATATTAAAAAAGACTGAAAGTAGAAATCTGAATGGTGAAGACCATTATGATTAATGTAAGAAACCTAAAGTAAATACATGAGTAAATCTTAAATTCTTCAGAGCTTTCAATCATAGTAGGGTTAATAAACTTTTTTCTTTTTTAATATTTTATTTATTTAACAGAGGCACAGCGAGAGAGGGAACACAAGCAGGGAGAGTGGGAGAGGGAGAAGCAGGCTTCCCACTGAGCAGAGAGTCGGATGTGGGGCTTGATCCCAGCACCCTGGGATCATGACCTGAGCCAAAGGAAGATGCTTAATGACTGAGCCACCCGGGGACCCCAAGGTTTATAAACTCTTGAGTTGTTTCAGGAGAAAGCCAGTGAGAACTGAGTTCCCCCATGCAGTCTTACTTCTGGGGGAGGATGAGGTCCACACCACACCATTTACCCCACCCCTGGGCTATGCTTTTATTTAATGGGAAAGTTAAAGGAAGAGGCTGTAGAGTTCTCTGTTAAGAGCCCTCAGGGGAACTACTTTTCTCCTTGGGGGCCTATTTGAATATCTAAAGGTAGGCACTCCATTGAGAATGGAAATAATTGCAGTGAAACAGCCAGTAGCTTTGCAGCATGGGAGATGACGTTTGCACTATGGATGGTTGCTTCCTGGTGACTCAGCCTTTTACTGGGGAGCCATCCCTTCCTTAGAGTTAGGGAGGAGATAGTAATGAAGTCTACTAGGACTTGTCCTGAGGCTCACTGATGAGATTCTTCATCTTTTCCCTTGTGGGTAGTGTAGTGGTGGGTTTCTTGGTGATTAATCCTCCCTTCCACCATCAGCATAGTTCTTACTGGCCTCATTCTCAGCTGAATGACTGGCAGGAGAATTCACTTCACATTGCATTAATTACTGTTGGCAATCTCCATATGAGGCAATACCCAGGAAAGTTTGTGCTGAATTTCAAAGAGGGCCTTGTAGCCTCATGGAGAAAAACACGACATGAAGAAAGGGCCATCTCCTTATTAAAGTGGGAGGGGGGATAATCTTTCATGAAATACGAATTGTAGCCTGTTGGTTGGGGCAGCATAACTCTTGATTACCACCCCTTAAGAACTAACGAGTGTGGAGGAGAGATTGATTTATAAATGAATCCGTGCACAGCATTTGCTCTTTCTCCAGGGAGTGGCTTCTCCTAAACCTTGGTCTAGCCATCGACCTAAGTAGGTACAGGCTGGCACTTGACTGTTAACAGAAACTGGATAAAGAAATTGTGATGTGATTTCCACTCCATAGTGAACGTACAATTTCAGGCAACAAATTTAAGTTTTAATCAGCATCCTCTAAGAGCTCTTGCTGTGTCCTGATTGTTGGGGGTTTAAAATCCACTTCCCCTAGGCAAGAAGTTAGAACTGAAATACATTAGTAATCATTGGTCAAAAGGGACTGTTTTAACTAAAATACAAACATCCAGATCCTTAGGAGTTAGGAAAATGTAGAGGGAGCTAGAGATGGTGGTTATGAGTTGGATTTTGGAGTCACACAGCCTGGATTTTAATCTCTCACGTATAAGCTGTGACCTTGAATAATTTGCTCAACTCCTCTAGCATGGGTTACAAGGATGGTTATGAAGACAAAACACATACAGAATAGTCCAGTGCTTGACAGATGGCAAGCCCTCTATACGTATTATTATATATTAAGAGATTCCAAGTTTTTAAGCATCTTTTTCTTGAAAGAATTGGAGAAATAAGTTCTTAAAATGGCTTAATTACAGCACTGTGTGGTTTAGGATAAGCCACACAGATGGTACACAGTAGCTACTTGACAATATGTTTAGGTCTTGGGTTAGGTGAATTATTGGGGAATCATGTTGTCAACTATAAAATAACAAATCTTTATCTTTTGTGAAGGTACAAGATTGTCTTTCCTGCTGGAGTATACAAACTAGTTAAATTTATATGTAAGAAAATTCTGGTTCCAGAGTGGATCTGATTAGCTTATCACTTTGAATTTCTGATTCCCAGATGCTGGCTATGAGTTTGACATCTGCTTCACCTCAGTGCAGAAGAGAGCAATTCGGACTCTCTGGACAGTGCTGGATGCCATTGACCAGATGTGGCTGCCAGTAGTGAGGACTTGGCGCCTCAATGAGCGGCACTATGGCGGTCTGACTGGTCTGAACAAAGCAGAAACTGCCGCCAAGCACGGTGAGGCCCAGGTGAAGATCTGGAGGCGCTCCTATGATGTCCCACCACCTCCAATGGAACCTGACCATCCCTTCTACGGCAACATCAGTAAGGTATGGTAAAACGGGGTTTGGCTCAACTCCACTTAGGACCACGGGTTATGGTTCTGGGCCTCACTCTTTCTTAGCTTTTTATTAGTGTCTGCCTAGTCCCATTGAGTTTATAATTTATAATAAATACTTAATTCTTTCAATTATCCTTCTCTTAGGAATGACCTTCACTTGTTAAAAGATTTAGTTGATAGTTACTTACCTAAAAATATATCCCCTTTTTTTCTTTCTTCATTGACATACTTCATAAAACCTATCCATAGTTGTAGGGCCCTTCTAAGACAAGTGGAAGATTAAGTGAATTGGGAAGATCCTTGTACTTACTTCCCCCCCCTTCTTTTCTAAGTTTCTTTGAAAAATTAATCTTCCCAGTAGTGGGCAGTGGTGGTAGGAAGAGCAGCAAGGTAAGCTTTTCCAAGCTCTCAGCTCTATTCTGTGCGCTGGTGAGGGATTTTGATTCATCACTTTAATTAGGGGATGAGGAGTGGCCAGAACTGATGCAGCTACTACTAATGGGTGAATTTGGATTTTCTTTTGTTGTTTAGGATCGAAGGTATGCAGACCTCACTGAAGATCAGCTACCCTCCTGTGAGAGTCTGAAGGACACAATTGCCAGAGCTCTGCCCTTTTGGAACGAAGAAATAGTTCCCCAGATTAAGGAGGGGAAACGAGTACTGATTGCAGCCCATGGCAACAGCCTTCGGGGCATTGTCAAGCATCTGGAGGGTATGTGTATTTTTCAGGGGAACCCTCAAGGAGGCATACAGCAAAATTGCCACTAATCAGGGACTTATTGCATGCAAAGGAGACCTTCGGGAAAAGGTTAGACATATTGAGAGCCTTGGAGATAGATTGACTCCTGGTCACCCTCTACCCTTGTTTCCTCAAAGCATTGTAGACCGACTCATTGGGTGCTTACTGTATATGCAGAACTTCAGGTTCCCCTTCAGACCTGATGCAGAAGCTGCCATCTGTTACTCACATACACTTCATAATTTGAGATGCTCACCTTTAGACTAGGATTGCCAGTTGAAACTGGTAAAATCCTCCTTAATCACAACCTGGTACAACTTCACACATGAATCTCAATTTGCTTTCTAAATTGCTTTACCTGAGGGCCTAGAGGGACAGATTTGCTGATTTTTGGCAGGCTGGATGGACCACATAGGACATTTGAGATGTGTTTGGTCCTAACCCTACTTCGGGAGAGAGATCTGTGGTACACACCTTTCATACTTCTTGCTTTTCAGTGGCTGAGAAATAAGTATTGGGTGCATTCTTTGGGTGACTGATCTGTAATACGGATCATTACTGTTATTACAAACACCAGAAAGGGTGTCTTGTTATATTTAATTCCTACTGAAGTCCTTTGTCACCTGCAGGGGTGACATGGATTTGTGTCTTGCATGGCTAATCACGGTGTGTATTTTCAGGTCTTTCCGAAGAGGCTATCATGGAACTGAACCTTCCAACAGGCATTCCCATGGTCTATGAATTGGACAAGAACTTGAAGCCCATCAAGCCCATGCAGTTCCTGGGGGATGAAGAGACCGTGCGTAAAGCCATGGAAGCTGTGGCTGCCCAGGGCAAGGCCAAAAAGTGAAGGGAAGCAGGCAGACTACTTCCCCAAGGATACCTCCCCTCCCTGTCCATCCCACTCCTCTGCACTTCTTCCCTGCACATGTCACACTGACCATATCTGTAGGCATCTTAAGTTTTAGCTGCAGATGAGGACCAGTGGCTCCTAATTTCGTTTAGCCATTTTGTTTCTTGCACCCACTCTCTTCATATATTCTAGTCAGAATGGCACTTCTGGGGCATGGGTTCTCAGTCCAAGCTGAGAGAAGACTCTTACCCAAGAGTAGGGAATTAGTAATGCTGGGGGTTTTGCTACTGTTTTATTATTGAGGACCTGCTTGCAATGGAGATAGGGAGGAACCATGCTAGTTGTGACCAATGAGAAGCAAGAGAGCCTATGTGTGTTCCCACGAGCAAGTCCTGTACTGTTCTGTACAGGTGGAGGGGGGGTGCTCTAGTCATTCCAGTGGAAGATGAATGTAACCTGCATGGTGATGAAAATAGTCATTTCCCCTCTGACCCTAGAAGAGCTGGCTCCAGAAGATTGGGATCAATCTGAATGTTTTACATGTTGCATTTACTTTTACAAGAAAAAAAAGAAGTACATATATATGTATATATATATATAATACAAAATGAAAACCCTTCTGGGGTTTCTAGTGGCGGTTGAAATATTCCCACATGTGATCATCCAAAAATAAGCCATTCCTCACACCAGTGTGGGATAAACTCCTTGACTTTTGAGGCCTAGGAGTTCATCCTGCTGTGTGTTTTAGAATCCCTCCCCTGCCTTAATGTTTTATGGCAGTGAGATGCCTCTTGATCATGTCCAAGTGTGTCTTTCACTGTATCTGTTTCTGATCATGTTCCAGTTGCTTGGCCCCACCCTGGGCTCAGTACTCATTTTGAGCGTAATTGTATTAAATCTTTTTCAGATCAGTATAATAAAGGAGTGATGTGCAATATCTTCTGTGTGATATAGTGATCCCTCTAGAGTTTTAGGACAACCAGTCAGTTTACACAGCCCGGTCCACATATGGTATATCTTACTAGGTTTTCCATCTTAGGTTGGGGAGCTGAGGTGGGGTGGGGGGCAGGTCATCTTAGCTGAACTCTCCATTCCTATTGCCTCTACAGCTCTTGTTCAGTGATGCTGGTTACTGAGTACCACTTGAGTGGAAAATCAAATTCTGAAACCCCATTATGCCTTTTGAGTAAGGTAAAGGCTTGTTTACTTTAAAAAGCTAATATTTTTCTATTAGAAATCTATAAACTTGATTCACTTTTCATCCTCAGAAATTACACACAACTTTATAAAATGATGCAGGAGAAAAGTTGATTACATTATATAAATAATTAGGAAGGGGCATGGCTCATATTTACCTTCTCTCTAAGGCCTTTGAAAAGACTGTGGGATCATAAGAGAGACTCCAAGGCAAGAAAAAGCTCTTAATGCCTTTCTTCTAGCAGGAGGAAATAGGGGCCTCCGTCTGGGAAGCTCTCACGAAGCTCCTCTGTGCCGGCCACTGGCTGAGGCATGTTAACATACACAGTCTCTAATCTTCATCACCTCTGAAAGGGCTGCTATCCCCAGTTTACAGAAGAAACACGCTGAAAAAGATGCAGAAACTGGTCAAATATATGCTACCAAGTACTGGAACCCAGAGAAAAGATGTTCAACTAAAGTCCTTATTTCAATTTAAATACCTGTAATCATCTTGAGTTTTTCACTTGATCTATATACAGTAACTCTAGGATGAGCTTTAGTAATTTAAGTCTCCCAACAGTCTGGTGGAATGTTAAATATACTTAGCCTATACTGAATCTTAGACTGAAAGTTGATAATTTCCTTTGATTAAGGCTCTTCACCCAAGTCAGACTGGATCAGCTTAGATTACTCTTATTCTGTGTCCTGACATAATCTGAGTTTATGGCAGTCTTCACTCACTGACTAGAACTCTTAGAGGCAGGAAAGTAACAGAAAGCCTGCATTATCTACCAACACCACCAGGAGACCAACAACTAGCATCCTTCCAAGACCCTGTGTAGGGTAGCTAGCTAAGCATAATCATCTGGTGGGGCGGGGGGTGCGATTTGTAGGCAGTTTTGAAAATCACCTCACCCAGGCTGAGAATCACTATTCCAAGGCACAGAAACCAGTATCCTCCTCATCCCTTAGAACCAGTTGTAGATTAGCAGATATCATCATTAAATATCACTATTTGGGCATAGCTGTTGAGTCAGCTATGAGAACACTCAAAAAAAATTTTACTGTGCTTTTGCTATGTTTAGTCACAGTATCAGGCACTGAAGATTCAAAGAGATTCCTGCCCTAAAAGCTCAGGCTATTAGGGGAGACAGGCACAAACTTAACATGTAATACAATACTGGATGGTTAATGGAGGAAATCCATCCTGCTCTGCAGATCAGAGAGAGCTGTTATTCAGCTGCTTCAAATGTTCTGACACTTTATTAGAATGTTTGTTTATGTATCACCTGTCTTTCCTCATTAGAATGTAAGCTCTACAAGGAAAGGATTCTATCGTTCACTGTTTTAACTCCTAGCTGCTCAGTATATGTTTATTGAATGAAGTCCCAACAAGCACTCAATTAATGAACCATTGCTAATTTGGAGAGCCTTTAATTTCATGCCCAAGGTTCTAGTCAATATTTAGAAAAAGGCACCATGGTACAGAAGAAAAAATGTTGGCTTTATAAGACAGACCTAAGTTTGAATAATGCTCTAATGCTCTGCCACTTGATGTCTGTGTGACTTAGGGCAAGTGAACTGATTTTTCTAAGCCTTAGTTTACTTCTCTGTAAAATGTAGAAATGATCAGAACATTCCAGGGCTACTGGGAAGTTCAGAGGTAAGTAAAGTGGCTAAAGTGGCTAACGCTATAGAGAGAATCAAATGGTAGCATCTTCCTGCAAGGCAATATGGGAACACCTAACCAAAATTTTAAAAATACCCATTCTTTGACCCAGCGTTCCACTTCTAGGACTCTGTTTTGCCACAGAACTTAGGCATGCACAAGGATATGTAGGATAGGGGTTTTCTTGGTAGCATTGCCTATAAAAAAGGAAAATCTGTAGTTTTAAAACCTTTATCAGTAAGGGGACTACTTAAACTACATTGTAACATAAGGCCTGGAATTTGACAGATCCTTGATAGAAGGCAACCAGATCTGTAATAACATAATACTGGTGTGTACTGGAACTTAGGCATTTCTTCCTCACAATAACCCATGAGATCATACTATGCCAGATGAGGAAAGAGACTTAAACAAAAATAACTTGCATTACTATCAATGCTCAACATCCCGATTATTTTAGTATACTATAATTTGTACAGTGTTACCGTTGGGGGAAAAATGGGCAAAGTGTACCAGGAATCTCTTACTATTTCTTAAAACTGCATGGGGAGCTACTGATCTCAATTCTGTTTTCTATTAAAAAACCAACCTAACCTATTCAAGGCTAGCAGCTAGAGAATATAAACCCAGGTGGGCTGACTCTGGAGTTCATAGGTAACCACTGTCAGTACACCTAAAAGAGACGGGCTCCTTGAAGAACATCTCAAGAACTAACATCTCTAATTCTTTCCTTCCATTCCCTCGGCAGCTTCTCCACGCTTAACCCTTATCCCTTCCTCATCCCCAAACTTGGATGTCCATTCCTTCTGTGCTTTGTTCAGGCTCCTTTTTCTGCCTTGAATATTTTCATTCCACTTAGCCAAGTTCTTCAGTTCCTTTTATTTCACACATCCTTCCCTGGTCTCCCATGACCGTGCTCTGTCCCTCTTTTCAGTTCAGGTTCACACAAACGTGTGCTGGGGTACCCACTAAATTAGTAATACTGTGTTCATCTAATTACTTTCAGAACTACTCACATGCACCCTGAATCACCATGTGTTCTTTAATTTTCACTAAACTACTGTCTCTCAATGAGATGTATATAAAGTGTTCGGCTCAGTGCCTGGCATGTAGCAAGTACTCAGTAAGTAGAAGTGCTTAGAACATAAAAAATATAAGAAAGATTGGAGATTAGGCTTTTCCAGAGTAAGCAAGCACTTAACACATGTCTGTTAATGGGTGTCAGCAACCAGGCAAACCCCTCCTCTGAATGTCATGATGCTTTTTATTTATTATTTATTAAAAAAAATATTTTATTTATTTATTTGACAGAGAGAGAGATCACAAGTAGGCAGAGAGGCAGGCAGAGAGAGAGGAGGAAGCAGGCTCCCCGGTGAGCAGAGAGCCCGATGCAGGGCTCGAACCCAGGAACCTGGGATCATGACCTGAGCAGAAGGCAGAGGCTCAACCCACTGAGCCACCCAGGCGCCCCTCATGATGCTTTTTAGAGGCTTCCCTACTCAAGACAACGAAAGCCATAAAATTTTTTTAGTAAAAAATGTTTTGTCTCAGCAAAAAATGTGTATTTGTAGGACCGTTAGAGGGAACAGGTTACTTCCAACATTATACAGTTTGTTGGCGCCTCCAAAAAAGAGAAATTGATCACTCCACAAAATGAAATCCACTGAAAGGTTCATAAGAAAAATATTCCACCTAAAGTATAAGTTGCTGGCAGATTTTTCTAAAGGTGGTTGTTGGCCAACCCCAGGCGTCTGAATAAAGACAATGGCATCTTGATGTTGGATTCATACACGTACTCTTAGATAAATGGCTTACCCCTCTCCGTGGGGTAAAATGTGGCTTCTTAGGTCTGCAGGAATTCAGGCTGCACTCGGGCCACTTTCCGGAATTCTTTAGTGTGGGTCTTAGGGCACTGCATCTCACACCAACTAATGGGAACCATCTGGACACCTGAAAGGAAAGAGCTGGTGTTGGAGTTGGAAAGCCCAAATGTTTACCGAAGACCCTTCCCTTTCAAGGCTGGTTATGAACTGAAGTATCACCAAACAGCCTAGTGAACCTCACTGCATATGGAAAAAGCCTTACTGATGCCACTGACTTATACAGTGAGTCCCCCCATTACAGTTATACAAGGAGAATCATTCTAATCTCAGTAGTAAGTACTGACACTCATATTGCTGCCTAGATAATTAAAAAAACAAGGGTAACAAGAGCAAACTGGATTAATCCCAAACCATAGCTCCCAGGGAAAGGTGAGCACATGGATGCATAGACTTACCTGATTCACTGTGGGCCACCACCACCCCGAGCTCGTTCTCGGCAGTGGTCAGGAGGTAGTTGGATTGTGCGTCACCCAGGGAGATCTAATCACACAACACTGGTAAAGGAAAATGATGGGTGATAAGTCTTCCCTCCCATAACCACTTGAGTTGTTTTCTACTTCTGTTTTTTGTTTTGACAAAGGACCACAACACTCCTGGGAATAAAGGATACCACTTTGGCCAAGACAATGTCACCTGGGCGGAAACTCTTATAAATCTCTACCTGTAAGAAAAGAACAGGATTGTTAAGTGAAAGCTCTAAATCAGATCTACATGAAACTATTACCCCTCTGGTAGACCCAATCTACTTTTTAACCCCACAGGGTGAAAAGTCATCATTAGTCAAGCCAATCAACAACTTCTATTGCTTCTACAGCATCATTATATAAAGCAAAGATTTTTAATTCAGTAACCTGATCAGGAATCTGACTTGGACAAAAGTTACTATAGCTGGCTCTGAAAGAATCCAGAGTAAATCGGAACAGCAAAGAATAAACACCTGGTTTCAAAGGCAAGGAGTAAACTAATCGCCTTCTGGTCAACAGAACAAAAATCCTAAGGGAGAGGAACAGGACAGGGAGGTGAATTCCACACTTTCTAGTAGGAAACATCTTAAAATTCCTTGGATCTTTGGATCTACATTTCTATAGATGTTTGAAATTCACTGGAATAATTTAAAAGGATTGAGATTCCTAAAGTCATAAGGAAAAAAAGAAAAAGGACCAACCAACAACCTTGTCTTTTTCAGTAGCTCGGACATCTTCCTTGCTATAAAAAAGAATTAACAGAAAGATTAATTATCGGTGAGCAAGAATTATTCTGCAGAATCATAGCAGACAAAGAGCTACAAGAGTAGAGAGAACGAGTCATAATGGGGACTCAGATGCCATGAGAGAAGTGGGGTAGAGAAGCATTCCAAGTCCTCATCCGGAGGAGAAAACCACTTTCCCATTCTTGGGTCACACAGAGCAGCAGTATCAATACCTCTGAGTATAGAAAAGCAGAACAGATTTGGCAGGAAAAATTAAGGAACTTTGCTGCCTTAGTAGAGCTTGAAGGGAAGCACTATAGAACAACACAGAATCCTGAGAGTGGAATGGGCCTCAGAAGTTAAATTATCTGGCTCACAAGAACTGTTGATCCCTTCTCAAAGAACCTACAGGAAAAACAAACAAAAAAAAACACCCAACTACCATTTCACCCACTAACCATTTTTTAAAGTATTTTATTTTTTTAAGATTTATTTATTTATCTTAGAGAGAGAGAGAGACAGCACAGGCGCATATGAGTGGAGGGAGTATGCACTCTATTTTACAGAGGGAGAGAGTCTCCAGTAGTCTTCCGACTGAGCGCAGAGCCCAACACAGGCTCAATCTCATGACCCATGAGATCATGACCCGAGTTGAAATGGCAAATCAGCTGCTCAACCAACTGAGACACCCAGGTGCTCCTAAGATTTTATTTATTTATTTTTTTAAAGATTTTATTTTATTTGACAGAGAGAGATCACAAGTAGGCGGGGTGGGGGGGATAAGAAGGTTCCCTGCCGAGCAGAGAGCCTGATGTGTGGCTCGATCCCAGGACCCTGAGATCAAGACCTGAGCTGAAGGCAGAGGCTTAACCCACTGAGCCACCCAGGTGCCCCTAAGGTTTTATTTTTAAGTAGTCTCTATACCTAACATGGGGCTTGAACTCACAACCCCAAGATCAAGACTTATCCATGCTTTACCCGTTGAGCCAGGTGCCCCCCCACACTAACCTTTTTAATGTTTCAAATCCTTGGGTTTAAACTATATTAAATAGGGGCGCTTGGGTGGCTCAGTGGGTTAAGCCTCTGCCTTCAGCTCAGGTCATGATCTCAGGGTCCTGGGATCAAGCCCCACATTGGGCTCTCTGCTTGGCGTGGAGCCTGCTTTCCCCCCATCTCCGCCTGCCTCTCTGCCTACTTGTGATCTCTCTCTCTCTCTGTGTCAAATAAATAAGTAAATAAAATCTTTAAAAAAAAAAAAACTATATTAAATAAAAGAAAGGAAGGTATTTCCTAAAACGTCTTCTACTTTGTTTCATATGAGTCATTGTGCATCACTAGTCTCCAGCTTAGCTCAGTTCTTTTCATTTTACTTTAAAGCCCAATCTTGTCACTATTTTCCTTTTGTCTTAGCTCATACATTATAACCTTTCCTTTGGACAGAATCAGAACACAAAGATGGGAGCCAGAGAGGCAGGTATAGGAACTGTAATTGTTCCTAAAAATTCCAGTCCCCTCTTCTATCCTCAGGTGTGGAGGCCAAGGTAAAGACATGAACACTTCTTACCGGATAGTTCCTCGAAAAGAGTTCTTAAGTGGTGTGGACCCTACATACAGGATGTGCACTTTGGCAAAGCGTGAATTGATGCTAGAGACCTGTGAAACAGAGAAAAGATCAGCATTAGAATAGTAGCAGTTGTGAGCTCAAGGAGGCAACAAGAAAGTAGGAATTACCAGGATTTTAGTCCAAGCAACCCTATTAATTATAGAATTTAAGACAAGTTAACTCCTACTTAACTTTGCATAAACGATACATGTCAAGTGGGATGAGAGTCACTCTGGCCACCTAATAAAGTTACTGTAGGCATCCAATGAAATAATATGGAGCAGATCTTGAAAAATACAGAAGACTAACATAAATAGACACAGGATATTACAGCAAATCTGGACCTTCAGCAGATCTTGCTAAAAGCCCCGTAGAGTGAACAGAATTTAAGTGTACATTTAAGGTACTGCATAATATTTGGATCACTGTGTCTTCAGTTGTTTTGAGAATAACACACAGATTTTCTGCTGGAACAATTTATAAAGAGAGCAACTAAAAGCTACAAGTTAACTTAACCTGGCAGAAGGTGGGGATGGGGCACCTGGGTGGCTCAGTTGGTTGAGCGACTGCCTTCGGCTCAGGTCATGACCCCGGACTTCCAGGATTGAGTCCCGCATCGGGCTCCCAGCTCCCTGGGGAGTCTGCTTCTCCCTCTGACCTTCTCCTCTCTCATGCTCTCTCTCACTCATTCTCTCTCAAATAAATAAATAAAATCTTAAAAAAAAAAAAAAAAGAAGGTGGGGATGGGCAGGGAGTAAGGATATATTACATTTATTGATCATGGCAACCTTAACTTGTACTTCCCCTGGAATACCCTAAAAGACAAGATTTAAAAGGAATGCTAGAATATAAGCTCTTTTGCTTCCCTGCAGAATAAGATCTAGCTTCTAGATATTAAAAAATAGGCCTCCTTATTACCCTTTGACACCCCTGTTTCGCAAACTACATACTTAGAGACTTAGCTCAGTGAAAGAACTATGACTGCTGAAGTAGGCTGCCTTGATCACTATCCCAGAACTTTCCAGGCCAGCACAGTCCAGTAACCCTGTGCTGATAGAAATGTTCACTGCTGGCCAACAGGGCAGCACTTGAAATGTTGCTAGTGGGACTGATGAAATGAACTTTTAGTTTTGTTTAATTTTAATTCATTTCAATTAAATGGCCAATATGGCTAGTGGCTATGGTATTTGACAGTGCAGTTCCACAATGATCATGATTTCGCCATTGAACAAGTGTCTTAAGCAGGGAGGTTAAAACCAACTTACCTTACAGGTTACAATAGCCCCCACATCCGGTAGTAGTTGGGACTCTGTTTCTCTCATCACAGAAATGACAGGAAGCTATAGAGAAAACAATAAAATGTAAGATCCTGACTAAGCCTCGCATAAAGGTATCTGTGGCTTAAGAGTAATGTAGTAATGCTTTGGTCCACAGCTGAGATCACAAGGACGGGTGGACTATAGACATAAGTGCCCAGAGGAGACAGCCTTAGAAATTCTAGACAATAGGAAGGTCAAGGGACCATTCTTCAAGGGAAGAATGCTACTAGAACACATAATCTAATCATTTCAGGTCAGTTCTATGAAAGTTTTTGGTGATTTTCTTGGGTTTCTTGGTATATAACCATCGTCTATCATCATGGATAACTTGACTCCTTCAAAGTTATACTATTTCCCTCTGTTTCTCACTTTATTGTACCGGCTAAAATTTCCAAATAAATATCATATAATAATGGCCATACTTGATTTCTTCTATTTTAAGGAAATACTTGTAGTTTTCTCTTTGAGCAAGGTATTGGCTGTTGGTGTAAGACAGATACATTTTAAAAAATGATTTATTTATTTGTTTTTTAAAAGATTTTTATTTATTTATTTGACAGACAGAGATCACAAGTAGGCAGAGAGGCAGGCAGAGAGAGAGGGGGAAGCAGGCTCCCTGCCAAGCAGAGAGCCGGATGCAGGACTTGATTCCAGGACCCTGGGATCATGACCTGAGCGGAAGGCAGAGGCTTTAACCCACTGAGCCACCCAGACGCCCCTAAAAGATTTATTTATTTTAGAGAGTGCGTGCATGTGCAAATGGGGAGAGGGACAGTGGGAGAGAGAGGAGAATCCCAAGCAGATTCCCCACTTGTTGGGGGGTCCTGACATGGGGCTCAATCCCAGGAGTCTGAGATCATGACTGGAGCTAAAATCCAGAGTCAGCTACTCAACTGACCAAGCCACTCAGGCACCCCAAGACAGATATTTTGAACCTCATCTTTGATTTATCTCTTCCTTGTTTACTGTGCTTCAGTTCTCTGGCCGCCTTTCAGTTTCACTAACTCATTAAACATCTTCCCATCTCAAAATTTGTGTTCAACCTGTTCTTTCTGCCAGGACTGTGCTCTCCCCACCAACCCAATTCTTATTTATCCTTTAGATTCAGGTTCAGTGTCACTTCTGCTGACCACAGTGGGTTTGTCTTTTACATGTTCTCACAGTAACCTGTAATATTCTTTCAAAATAGTCATCACATTTGTAGCCATACACTAATTTGAGCATTTACTTGTTTACAATTTATGTCTGTCCCTCGATAGCAGGGACCATGTGTATTTGGCTCACTACCTTATCTCTAGAGGTCAGCATTGTGCCTGGCACATGAAAATGCTCAATAAATATATAAAATGAATAAACTTAGATATGTTAAAGACATTCCCAAAATTGACTGAATAAAAAGCCTCTCATTTTACATATGAGGAAAAACCTAAAACCAGAGATCAAGTTTCTAACATGAAGCAGAAACAAGGCCTAGTTAGCCAGTACCTAATTGTTCTAATTCTGAATCCTCTTTCTACTATACCCCCTATTTTTAAGCTGCTCCTTCAAAGACTGTTTATCTGATCCTGGGCTAATCCTGGATCAGCCTCTGGAACTAAAGAGGACAGTGTTAGGCACTCAACAAAATTTATTGAGCACAGGCCCTTGTGCTTGGCACCAAAGGTATGGTGGCAAGGTTTGCTTTCGTGGAACTTAAAGAGTTTAGTAAGGGAAGAGTCAAGGGGGAACATGTAACTGAATGTTTAATTATTTGCAAAGCTGAGCACAGGGAAGGAAAGAAATGTAGTTCCTTGTGAGAGTTTAACAAAACAAAAAATAAAAGCTCATAAAACTCCTTTCCTTGACTAGTGGGTCTAGCATGGCTTCTCAGATAAAGTGATACTAGAGAAGCTATCTGAAAGGTAAGAATTAAACACGCAAAGGAGATGACCGTGTTCCAAACAAATTGTTTGTGTACAAAGGCTCTGTGGCAGGAGAGAGCTTACCCTACCAGCGACAGTGAAAGAAGCCTGTGTGACAAGACTGCAAAGTGAGGTGGGAATAGCGGAGCAAGATGAAACCGAAGACAGGAGACATTCGGACAAAATGAAGCTCACTGCAGGGCTGAGTCTGCCTCTGCTCATTCCCTAACTTCCTTCCCCGAGTGTCAGCAATTTAATCAAGCGAGAGGAACACATCCGGTCTGTGGTGGCTAAAATGCCCAGCAGTGGAGACCAGCTGTTCTACTGCTGAGGCACTAAAGACGCGTCCGTAGTGTCGCGAAACCAAAAGCTGCCTAAAAGAAAGGAAGAGAAGGGGGAAATGGGAAGCTGCCCCTTTACCGCGCCGTTCTCGCTGCTCTTCGTCAGGCAGCCAGCAAGCGAAGAAAAGATGTAGCCGTGTCGGGTGTAAGTGCCGCTGCCCGGGCTGCCCTCCTCCAAGTTACACAGACGTTCGCCTGAAGAAAAACGCTGCATCAGTCACGGGCACCCATGAAGTGCCGGCCATCCAGGCTTCCTGCTCTATCCCATCCAGAATTCGCTATGGGCCCCTCACACTTACCGGGAATGCAGTACCTCACGGGTGGCGCCATGACTGCCAGAGGAGGGAAACGACGTCGACTTCTCATTGGCCAAAATTCAGGAGCGGTGCTAGAGTAAGAAACGCGCCAATTGGTGTGATTTATCACGTGATCGTCGGGAGCCTCTCCTCCGAGACACTTTATTTCCCAGGTTGCCCCTGGACCAGTCTGGGGGCGGGGCTCTGGAACGCTTGCGCGTGCGCCTGTGGTCCAGGATGGGCTGGCGGCGGGTCTCAGGCTTCGGGCTGGTCCTGCGGGTGGCGGGCGATGGTTGGTTGGACTGAGCCGGGCCCGGCCGGGTTGCAGAGCTGGAGGGGGTGGCAGTGAACGGCGGCGGAGGCTGCGGGGGTTCCGTTTGGCTGACTGGGGAGTCGGCGGGCGGCAGGTAAGAGCGGAGCCGCGGCCTTTGCTCCCCAGTGCTGCCCTTTTTTCTAGGGTCGGGCCCTGTTCGGGGCCTTTTCCTGAGCCCGGGTTCCTGTTCTCTCCTTGCTCCGCCCTGCACGGCCTTGCCCAGCACAAGCCTGGAGGAGTGCACCCTTGGGGAGCTGTAACGCGCGGAGCTGGAAGGAGGTCAGCCAACTCAAGTTGCCCATTTTACAGATTTGGAAACTCAGATCCAGAGACAGGATTTGACTTGTCTGGTGGCTCAAAGATAGTTCAAGGTAGAGCCCAAACCGGAACTCAAGTTTGTTTTTTTTTTTCTTCCCCCCACTTCCATTCCATCGCACAATGACCACGCACCCCATTCAGAAGTAAAACCTTCTCCGGGTTTTTGTGACTGCAACTTCAGATCTTGCAGTCGGATCCTCTCAAGCGGATCTCAGGTCGTGTGGGCCCATGCTTAACTTTTTCTCTTTCAAGCCTGTTAGTCCGGAAGGGAAGTCTGCACGTGAGCAGAATGCTGCTCTTACTGATGACTGACAACTACTGCTTAACACAGCAGACGTCCTGAGAGCAGCATCTTTGTCCAGATGAGATTTGCTACAACTTTCATCTCAGTTTCCCTTGCCTTCTGGTGGCTTTGGAATATGTCCCTCCCCCTGCAAACCCTCCAGCCCCCACCACCCCAGTTTCCCCTTGGAAAACAGATGGTGACTTAGAGCCTTGGAAAGAGGGGAGTGCTGTGGCTGACTTCAATCCCCTCTAATCTGGTGGCAGACGTCACTATGGCCCGTGGTTGCTACTGAGGGATCAGAATGCTAAAGGCTTGTGCTTGGGGTGATAGTGAAGCTCAGCTTTGCGTTTCCTCCTGTGTTCACTCTCATTCTCCGCACCCCACCACAACGTACACACACACAGTTTCTTCCAGTTCTGTTTTACCTCAATTTCCTGAGAAGTAAGGAACTCCGTATGTTCAAGTGTGATCCCATGGACCACAGTATCTCTTCCCTGCCATCCCTGTACCCCTAAACCCCAGTAGCTAAAATGAGTTGCTCAAATCTGATGTGTAGCTCTGCATCTACAAGCTTTCAGCTTACATGTTTGGGTTGATTTCTAGTTGGGACATGTTTTCCAAAATCCTTTCTTGCTCTTAAGTACTATGATTCTAACCATGGTTTCCTTTTCTCTTCACTGACCGTAAAGAATGATAGCATCAGACACTTTTTTTAATGTTAGGACTTTGGCAGGAGTGCACTTGCTATTATTTGTAGCACAGATAGACGTTGGACCAGCCTCACCACTTCTGTGTCCTCTGTTCTTTAACAAGCATTTATTGAGTCCTTCTGTGAGCCAGGTACCATGTTAAGCATTTTGTAAATATTTCATTTATACCTTAACCAAGTGTATATATAGAACGATAGAGGGTTAGAGCTGGAAGAGAACTTAGCATTTAAGCCTACCCTGTCACTGAATGAGAACACAAGGAGATTGGGTGATTCGCCCAAGGTCACAGAACTACTTAAGTGCAGAATGGAGCCCTAGTCAAGTTATGGGGTAGATGAGAGTAAGTCTAGTCCTGGAGGCAGGCATTTCCTGTAGAACTCCGGAATACCAGAGTTGGTTGAGGACAGTCTGAAAGGTGGAGAATCTGAAAAAGAATGTTTCTGGGTTTTTTGTAGACTGGAGAGATGGCATATAATTCCTGTTTATTAACAGGCGAGGAATGCATCTTATTTGTGAGCTGTTGCTATAAAGAGTATTTTAGCAAATAGGAAACTCTCCATTAGCCACAGTAAGGGAATGAACAGTGATGTGGACAATCTGAATCACTTGGATTTGTTGTGGGGTAAAACGTTTGTCTCTTACATTTAACTATGGCCATATACTATTTTGAAAATTCATACTTCAAGGCAAACCATGGTTCCAAGCAATAGGACTCCAACTCAAGAGGAAGGAGGAAGGCTGACTTTTTCCTTTCTCTCATTTCTACACTACTTCTTAAGTCTCTTAGCTCCTAGGAGTGATGGGAATGGTCAGTTTCTTTATCCTGATGCAGAGTAAATCCTTACTGAATTGTCTACTCTTTGGCTGGCCTTGTCTGCCGGATTCTTATTTGCCTTAAGTCATTACAGGGCTTGTGGAAGAAGGTAATGAAATGTTTTGTTTTTGTTTTGAAAGGCGTCTAGTGATAAGCCAGTGTGCAAGGAGAGCACCTTGCTCCAGTTACTGAACTGAAACTGTCACTACAGTGGAGCAGCCTCCTCCAGTTTCTGTTGGGTTTTGAGCTGCCTGTTAAATAAGTCAGTGGAGTTGCTGAGGACATAGTAGCCCTAGGGGAAAATCAGATAATTTCTTTTCTGGTAAGGGCTTTGATCTGCGGAATTGATGAGACGAGCATTGAAGGAGCCCATGACTTCTGTTCTGGACGTTGCCTGGGCAGCTGACCTCCCATGGCTGTTGAGTGAGGTAGAACTCACATAGAGGAATGAAGGTACTTTCAGAGGTGGGAAGGCTGGTTGGGAAGCTTGGGGGCAAGGGCAGCAGCTGCAGAGAAGACTCATGAGTGTCTAGCTAGAACTGGCCAGGGGAGACTCATCACAGAGGACAGGCTCTGTAGTCTTCATGAGCCACAGCATGAAGGCCCCCTCCCACTGCCACGGTCTCCTGCCTGTGGTGGTGTTCTGCTGTGAACACCTGAAGTTGTCTTGGCTTTTGTATCCTTGGGGTGGGGCTGGGACTGGAATTGGAGACAAAGCATCTGATGTCATGTAGGGTAGCTGAGGTGTCCTGACAGGAGACAGGGACTCTCAGGCTACCAGGCTGGGTCTGGTAGCTTGTAACATTAGCCGAGAGGAAGGAGGAAAGATGAGTATCTTCTGCAGAGATTCAGCACCAGGGCAGAACTAGATGTAGGACCCACATGCTACGTGCTTACTCCCCCACTGGCCATTCCTTGGTGAAGAACAATTGTTTGGAGGTGGGTGGGTGGGCTAGAGCAGGCAGGAGACCCTGGGAATCCTCCCCTGTGATGGCCCTGCCCACAGAGGTGTGGTGCTTGTCCGCTGTGCTCCACCCAGTGCTCTGTCTACACAGACAACTCCGAAGACCCTGCCTTGGCTTGGAGCTGCCTGCCTCTCCCCGAGCCCTTTACTGTGGCTCTTTACTCTAGGTGTGCCTCATCTTGGATTTGCTCTGCACCCATGTGGTGTAATAGAAGTAGGATTTCTGCAGGTTCCGAACCTCCAGACCCTACCCCATGTAATCTGGTTGGGACACTGGTGCCACCTATTCTGCAGAGAAGTGAAGTGACCTTCCTACTTGCCACAGCTGGTGACTGGCGCAGGTGGGCCTCATTCTGAGGTCTTTGCCCCCTCCTCCCTGGCGGGATAGGGAGGGACAGGACCTGACCAGCTCCTCACAATGGTGTGCTCTCCTAGGAGCCATGCGGGGCCAGCGGAGCCTGCTGCTGGGGCCCGCCCGCCTCTGCCTGCGCCTGCTTCTGCTCCTGGGCTACAGGCGCCGATGCCCACCTCTGCTCCGGGGCCTGGTACAGCGCTGGCGCTATGGCAAGGTCTGCCTGCGCTCCCTGCTCTACAATTCCTTTGGGGGCAGTGACACCGCTGTCGATGCTGCCTTTGAGCCTATCTACTGGCTGGTGGACAACGTGATCCGCTGGTGTGGGGTGGTGAGTGATGCCCAGGGAGCAGGAAAAGGGCTGTTTTGGGGTAGTAGAAGGACATGTGTCTGGTGGACCCACATTGGGTTTGGGACCCACACCAACCCCCTACCCCAGGGAAATTCCCGAGTCTGCCCTTCGTGTTGGCAAACTCTGACGGTGTCTCCCCACCCTCACTGGTGTGGGCAGGTGTTCGTGGTGTTGGTGATTGTGCTGACCAGCTCCATCGTGGCCATTGCCTACCTATGTGTCCTGCCTCTCATCCTCCGAACGTACTCAGTGCCACGGCTCTGCTGGCACTTTTTCTACAGCCACTGGAATCTGATCCTTATCGTCTTCCATTACTACCAGGCCATCACCACTCCACCTGGATACCCACCGCAGGTAGGTCCCCACAGGACCATGTGGGAGGAATAGAGCTGCGGGCTGTGGGAGCCAGCCCCAGGAGTGGGGAGGGAGAGTGCCTTGGTACCTTCTGAGGTCCAGAACTGTGCTGCCGCCGTTGTCGTGATGCTTTTCTCCCTCTGCATAGGGCCGGAATGACATCGCAACAGTCTCCATTTGTAAGAAGTGCATTTACCCCAAGCCAGCCCGAACACACCACTGCAGCATCTGCAATAGGTGGGTCTTGGCTTTGCTTGCTGTGAACCCGGGCTGTGGCCCTTCTGCTGAAACCCTAGGGCAAAATTTAGACCTAAAGTTTGAGAAGACGTTCATGAAGCGCCCGTCATACACCAGGCAGTGTGCCCGCACGTCGTGACACCTGGTCCTCAGGATGGTCCTGGGTTAGGCATTGTCACCACTGTGGACACTGAGCTTCAGAGAGGAGTTAACCTTGTCCAAGATCATGTAGCCAGTGAAGCAGGGTTTGGAAGCATGGCCTGGCTCTCTTCAAAGTCTGTGCCCTTTCCACCTCAGCAGGATGCTGGGCCTTGTAGGAAAGGATGGGCACTGACCTCTCAAGAACCTTGGCCACCGTAACAGAGCCTGTGTCCCTCCCTCACAGGTGTGTGCTGAAGATGGATCACCA